TTCCTTTGATGTTACCTGTGTCCACTGCTACCTGTATCTGAGAGCAGAGCTGAAGCCAATAATCGTTGGAACATTTCCTGGCAGCCTGTTGGACTTGGCTATGAGCAGCTCAAAGAGCTTGCAAGTTGTACTCGCTAGGACAGGCTTTGTATGCCACTAGAGCTCTCCACTTATCCTCGATGGCTGGCATCAACTCCTCCGAATGGGCTTTGAACCAGTCGGCCATCTTTTTGGTCTTCTTGCCAAAGGTGGAGAAGCTGGTGTTATAGAAGGCAAACAGAAGGGGAAGATATGGAGGTAGTGGCAGATTTTACTTTCTTGGGCTCCATGATCACTGCAGATGGTGACAGCAGCCAGGAAATTAAAAGACGCCTGCTTCTTGGGAGGAAAGAGATAACAAACCTCAACAGCATCTTAAAAAGCAGAGACATCATGTTGCTGACAAAGGTCCGTGTAGTCAAAGCTATGGTTTTTCCTGTAGTGATGTATGGAACTGAGAGCTGGACCATAAAGAAAGCTGACCGCTGAAGAATTGATGCTTTTGAATTGTCATGCTGGAGGAAACTCTTGAGAGTCCCCTGGATTGAAAGGAGAACAAACCTATCCATTTTGATGGAAATCAACCCTGAGTGCTCACTGGAAGGACAGATCCTGAAGCTGACGCTCCAATACTTTGGCCATCTCATGAAAAGAGAAGACTCACTGGAAAAGACCTTGATGTTAGGAAAGTGTGACGGCAAGAGGAGAAGGGGACAACAGAGTCTGAGATGGCTGGACAGTGTCTGCGAAGCAACCAACATGAAATTGACATAACTCTGGGAGGCAGTGGAAGATAGGAGAGCCTGGCATGCTCTGGTCCATGGGGTCACGAAGAGTCGGACACGACTAAACGGCTAGACAAAAAACAGCCAGTCAACAAAGATTTGCATTTCTGGAAAGCTCTTGGAAGGTGTGAGGGTTAGGAAATCAAACATTCTCTACATTTGCTACCACGATATATAATACAAATATAAAGCAAATATAAGCCTCAGTATGTCAATATATGAACTTATTTATCACCAGAAAGTGTAGCTGTTGAAAAGCTTGAAGGTATTGCATGGGCCAGATTGTACTATAAGAAAGAATAAAAAAGGAAATTGAAAACAGTGAAACAGACATTATATGAGTGGTAATGATGTCATAGCCATGACTGGCCCATTCATGAGTTATGGGAACTGGAGTAGGTGATAATCTTAGGGAGATATTGAGTAAGGTGGTGGAGCCACCCCCTCATGACTCCTTCCTGAGCTGATCACCATTAGAACTGAGCTTTGCTGAATTGCTCACCACCTCCACAATATGGCCACTTTTGAGGCAGATATTTGAATAAAGCCTGTCTCTGAAGTGGTCCTCAGGGCAGAGGCATTGTGAGGGAGATGGTCTCAAACACTATCTATGCAGGATTTTTAAATTTTTTATTTTTTTATTTTTAATTTTTGGCCATCTTTCCTACAATGCTTTTGCCCTGGTGACTTCTTTAGAGCCAGTCAATAAAGAGGTGGATGGACAATAAGGAAGCAAGGCTCGGAGGGTAGCACCCTCCTCCTCCTCCTCCTCCACCACCACCTTTCCTCCATGGGAGTGTTGAGGGAACCAGTGCCATGGACTTGGGCAGTAGCAAAATGTGCACCAGCCCTGTCATTAGTACCATCAAAACCAACATATAAGGCATTCATAACTTGGTGAGAGGAGGGAGGGGAGAAACCAGCTTGTAAAGAGGATATGTCTACCCTTCTGTTACTCCTCTGTTTCAGATTTGACATCTATACCAATGTCTACACACATGTCTAATTAAGTGCTCAAAGAGGAAAGTGCATATAAAAATTAAGCTGCTTGGCTTAATTAAAATAGGAAGCAACATTCACCTACTCACAGCCACTAACAGAGTCTTAATGAAGTTTTATTGCCCCAGAGAAACTCTTTTTCATCTTAGTGTTAAATTATGCAGCACTGCCAACAAGTAGACTGGCTACAGTTCTCTCCTCCAGTGAAAAGCTCCCCCCACCCAAGCTTTGGGAGTTGTGTGCACATTGCAGTTTGTCCGACAACTGCTAACAAATCCTTCCCTCCTGTAGTCAGAAGAGTTCTTTGCTAGAAAAAGCCAGACCTTGGTTAGGCACAGGTAGCAGCAGCAATCACAATCCATCTGCGAGAAAAAGAGCTGCATGGTTTTCCCTTTGCCGTGAGGGCCAGCCAGTTAATTGAGCCTGTCAATCACCTAGCAGAGCAGTGATACCCCAAATACAGTTAAACTCTAAAACATACACATTTACAAACTGGCTCTGTCATATCTTAATAAGCCATGAAATGCACATTCTTGTTGCTGCCATCCTCTGCCCTGGCGGTGCCCTCTCTACCCCCTTTCTGTGTTCTATGATAAACTAGGAAGTTGTCAGTGAATGACATTTTGCCCAAACCATGCTTTGACAACTTGTCCTGTTGCAGATGTAGAAAGTGTGATTTCCCACTTTGGACGAAACATGACGCTATGGCTAATGCTTCGGGCTTATCACGGTGTGCCAAGGGGAGAAATGGGTGTTAGCATGGACTCAAGTCAGTTTGGACTTATGCATATCATTTGAATGCAGTTTACGTAATACTTGTACATTACATAATTATATTTTCTATATTTTAGCTATTATATGATACACTGACAATAACTGTATGGATTCAATTCACTCTGTAAGCCATGAAGAGAAATGTTCTCTGCATCCCTAGTCAATCCTGGATTCAATTCACCCATGAGGAGAAATGTTCTCTGCATCCCTAGTCAATCTCATCACCTAGCCATTATACAAAAGCTACTTGTGAGCATCGCACAATTATGTTCTGTACATCACTGCAAGTTCCTAGCTACAGTTTGGGGCATCTACTTCCAAAACATCTAATGTGGAGAGAACCTGGCTCAAGCACTTTGCTAACATGCTTTGCTCAGAGGACTGCTGAGGGCAAATGATGCATTGCATACAACCCATCATTAGACTCAAAATCACATCAGTGTTCAAAAGAAATGACTGAAACAGCCTTTAGTTTCAGAGAAATCAGACTTGCAAAGGAAGAACATGTTTGTATCCTGAATACTGCAAAGCAGAGGAAGTTAATAGACATAATCTGGGGGAGAATAAAATTCCTGCTATGACAGTCACACATGTTCTGTACTTAAGGAATTCTATTTTCTCTAGATTGGGGAAACATTTAGGAAGCAGCTAAATATGGAGAGCTGCACAGAGGAGTGGCAGATTTTTTGAATAAGAGGAACCCTCTCAGGACAGGCAGATTTGTTGCTCTTGATGAACTGCTGCCCACATGCTTCACCATTGCAGCAGAAGGCCAGCTGAGTGGATTGTTCAGTCCCATCTACTCCGGGGAGCAGTGGGTTACAAAAGAGCTCATGTACCCAGGACTAAGGACTCTGGGCTTCATAAGTGTTGAAGATGCAGAGCATCTGGCCTCTGAAATTATAGGTCCACAATTCTAAGACAGTTACCTACAATATATAGTACCTTCCTAATGAATTCTATTGGTTCATAATTCAAGGGTTAAAACCCAATAGGAAGGAAGGAAGGAAGGAAGGAAGGAAGGAA